CCAAAAACTGACGCTAATCTCTTTCACAGACTTACCTTCTTGATATTCTCGTTCTGCCGCTGTCGCCACATCCCCGTATCAACCTTCAGCAGCGATGCTGACGTCACCAATATCTCCGTCCCGACCGTCGCGCCTTGGATGTACACCGCGACCTCGGCCGCCGTGCGATGCAGCGTGAATCCGCCAATCACCTTCGTCCAGCACGACGGCCGCGCGTTCGCGCCGCCTATGCACACGTACTGGCCGTCGATCTTGGCCATCGCGTTCACGTACTGCCGGCCGGCGGGAGGCAAGCCGGCATTTTTAGCGGCCGGCCCGCTGGCGGCACCTAGCTTCACCCAGATCGCGAGCTCGTACGCCGCGGCCGGCAAGTTACGTATAATCTGCGCCGGCCCTGCGGACTCCGCGCGCCGCGCGTACGACACGCCGTACGAGTAGTTCGCGGCCTGCGCGCGGCGCAAAGACGACTCACCGAAGGCCTGCCATGACGACAGGCCTTCCTGAAATCGCGGATTTTTTAGGAGGTTGCTAGTCGGCGGGGCCGTGGGACCGGGATCGGGGGAGCACTGACGGAAGGGGGAAGACGAAAAGGGGTGGAATGGGGAGGAGGGAAGATGGGGAGCCCACAGGGGGAGTAACGGGCTTAGAGGAGAATGCAAGTGATCTAGTTATAGGGAAGAGGGATTGGAAGCAGGGATCGGAAAGTAGCGGAAGGGAGTGCAAGGGAGTGAGCGGCGGAAGAGCATTGGGAGCGGAAACGAGGAGGGATCGGAGCGGAAGCGGGGAGAGCACTCACAAATACGACTTTGAATATCTGATCGAGAGTTTTCCGGCCTCGGCCATCGATGTGCGACGTGTGCGGCGCTTTGAGATAGTCGAGCGACAGCAACCCGTCCGCTCCGCGATACTGCGCAAACTCGCGCTCGTACGGCGACGGCCGACCCGTGGACTCTGCAGCTGCGCGGAAAACCGGCCCTGGGGGAACAGGAGGTGGTTGTGCAGGAAGAGAGGGCATCGGACTAACGTTCATGAGTGTTGCATTGGGCAAGGAACACTCGCGAGTTGAAGGGCCCGATCTATACTTGGTAGGACTGAGAGTATCGGAGGCGACTATCGAGAGTTGGGCTGCAACCCTCATGGATGCTATCCTATCATTGCTACCCCATCTAGTCGTTTGATTGGTTGATTGCTTGATTAGAGGCGCGTGAGTGCTGGGCTGCAAGTGCAGAAAACTCACCGGAATTTATCTGATGCGATAGAATGGTGACGGTTAGGAGCGCGAGAGGTAGTATTTTCACTGCTCCCAGAGCAAGAGGCGACATGATTGAGAGTATCGAATAATGATGTTCAGTCTGACGATTCACAGTGCGAAGAGAAAGCTACGAGTTTGCCTCGACAAGCGCATACTGACAGGTCAGTGTTACTGTTCCTTACTATCGCTTTCCTGGATTCTGCGATTTCTAACTGGCCTTTGGAACTTCAAGAGCACTATCGCAAGAGGCGATCGAGCAGAAACGCAGTGCCTCAGCAATGTCCAAACACAGATGCTTGGCATCACATCGGAAGAAAATGCAGCCATATAAGCGCGAGAGAATTGGAGTGGACTGCGGGAGCGAGGAGGATGAAAATGCAAAATCGAGCCAGTTCCACCCAATCTGTGCGTGCCAAGCACAATTTCATGTACCCCTCCACATGACGGTGAGGTCCCCAAGGGCGGGAAAGGCAAATCCTACGACAGCCTGGGTAACCCGAAGTTTCCGGAGGAAAATGATGGGTGGCATCCTCGAGGTTTTCCTGTTTCTGAAAATGAGCTACCAGTTGAACGAGTCACTTTTCCCAGCGTGCTGGCGGAATGCTTAGAGAACAGCCAAATCTGCTAACTTTTTTTGAAACAAAACTTTTGTTGAGGCTGAAATCAAGGGTTTGATGGAATTGGTGTGCGTTTTCCATGAAATGCATTCCACTTTGAGCTGCGCTTCGACCTGAATGCCTTTATTCAAACAACACCGACATTGCCGAAGGGAGGTAAGGGCCTTGGCCTAGAGGCTAGGATTGGCAGAAATACAGTTTTGAAGGGAGACAGCCCAGGAAGACACCTGGTTCGTGCATGGTTCGTTACGCGTCGTCAACGAATCAGAGAACATTCTGGAGTACATTCCCTAACAGAACGTGACTATCGCCCAGTCAAGTTTTGACGTCGCTCGCACAGGTATTGTGGGGACTGAAACAAGTTGAAACATGCCTACAGCGAGGCACAGCTGCACAGGCGCTCCCCTCTTTGCTTGGGCAATACATGACACGTCACACGAGAACAAGGCAAAACATCTCCAGCCATACTTGGAGGGAACCTAGCTTCAAGCTGAAGCCAACTTGTGTGATGCCACCCCAAGCAAGGTTGCGAAACCAGACAGCACTCCAAACCAAACCACTCGTCGCCCAAACCGAGCTTCTTTTGAAACATCTTGACCCTTGAAGAGAAACGGACGTCAGGAGTTTGGCCGATTTTCTAGAGCCAGGTCGGTCACCACTGTCGCTGAAACTCAATTTGTCTGTCGCAACTCTCGCTGGAACGGTAACTGTGGTGCTAATGGCACCAGCTGAGCATATTCCACAGCCCCAAAAAAAGTTCGGTGGTGCCTCGCTACCGTGGTAACCTACCGGTTCAAAAGTTCGATCTACCTGATCTTACTGATCTTCCACAGAACATCTGTACGGAATCGACCGGCCGGGTCAAGTTCGAAACGACAAAGACCATCCTCACCACCCCCTAGACAACGATTTCAAATATTCAAATATTCAACATTCAGTCTCCCAATTCGTACCTTCTGCTGGGCGGGGTCAGTGTGTTCATTTCCAGTTTCATTACAGTTCATTCTGAGCGGGTACTATTGTTTCGTCACGGTGTAAAACGGTTCATCATTTGAACTGCTCTAAACCAGCTGGAATATTTTTGCGCCACGACGGATGAACTGTCAATTATAAAAATGAACGCGCTGACCCCGCCCTGTTCTTCGGACATCAGGAGACTCCACCTCGTCAAATTGAGACTCATTGATCCAGTCGTTAGCTTCTCATAGCAGCTCAGAAGCTACTCTTCACAAACACTCGTCTTCCATCCCAACTGTGTGGGACCAGGGCCTCAGGGATTCGATTAGGGTTACCGTCCCAAATTTTAGAAGGCGACGCGCTTAAATTTGACCACCATGGATTTGTCAGACCCGTCTCCGATGGTTAATGGAGAGCAGATGCGACGTTTCGTGGGTCGTAAGGTCCGGACTGTCTTGAAAGTGGTGCGCGTGGACCCCGGTATAATCACAGCTCAGACGTGCGACAATGCTACAGTCACAGTCCGCGCGTTGACTCGTTCGCCGTGGGATAACTCGCAATTCGTCGAGGTGATCGGAGTTCCCGAGAACGACACGACCATTCGGGAAGAGTCGTCGACCGCTTTCGGAAATAACTTTGGTAAACTAAGTTCCCGTTTGGCACGCCGATCAGTTTGGCACGCCGTTTCACGCGTCCCGAGGACGTTTTAGGGCAGTCGTTGAAAACCGTTAGGGATGTCAGGGAAGACCAGTTGGCGAACATGCAAACGGTCTTCTTCCTTTCGTGTTCGCCAAACACTTTGAGGAACATGTCTGTTCCCCCTCCTTTTTTACCCTAACAACGTTCATCTTATTCACGACTTCAAGCCCCCCCCCCCCCCCCTCACCCCCCCTTGTTCTCCCTTCCTCTCCTTCCCCCAACCCCCCATTCTCTCCGCCTTCTCATCTTCTCTCCACCTTCCCTTCCTCCACCCTTCCCCCCTCCCCCGCACTCTTTGTTCCCCTTTTCCTCTCATTTCCACTCCCCTCCAGACCAAAGCAACTACAACCAGCCCTGCACCCTCGTCCATGGCGAATTCCATTCTCTTTTTCTACCATGACCTTCTACTCGCCCTGACAACTCTGTTTCCATTTAGATCCTACTTCCCAATTTGTGTACAGTACATGCATGTGTTGTTCAACTTCAGCAGTGCTGATTTTGGACTTTTCTTATTTTAAACAAGTATTTACCAACCACAATGGCCGAGGGACTCCACTTTTTACTCTCTTGAAACTTGACAGGAGGTCTGTGGCTCAAAGAATTGTGCTGCTGGTTACAATTCTGCCTGGTTATGCATTGCTGAATGAAGCAAGAGAGGAGGAATTCAACAGGAGTCATCTTTGTAACTCCATCACTGACGTTTCTAGGAAACAGCCTGCCGACACGCACTGCAAGCCTAAGATAGCAAACAAACAGCATGTAGCTCATGTTAAAATGAATGAATAACGGTGCTGCTGATGCTGACCAGCAGTATGTCTTCAATCCCTGACAGTGCCCCCTAGCTCTACCCCAGACTAGTGAGCCATCTCTCTAACCTGCTCCTGCTTGCCTAACACCAGGAAATGGTACCAGTAAATCGCATGGCGCTGGTGCTGATGGCTGTGAGTGCCTTCTAATCACTCATGGCGCAAGATGCGCCATCTTGTGTCACATAGAGCGCTTGTTGCACCTGCGGCTGAAGAAGCTCTAACCTCCAGTTCTTCATCATCTAGACTGTAGTCCCTGCTGCTGCAGGCCGTTGTTTAGAATGCCTGGGAACCCCCTGCTGCTGCATGCTTTACTCCCTCCAGCTGTCCCCCTGCTGCTGCGTAGTGGTGGGAGCTCGAGCAACCGTGGTCCGTGACACACGTTTCACGAGCATCAGTGAATAGTAGTACGGTAGGTATGAGCAGTCAACAGGTTTGTTGACCAAAGAAGAACAAAACCGGCTGAGGGTGGAATACCACACTGGCATGCCCGCAAGGTGTAGTCGCAGCTCCCCCTCCCCCTTTGTGTTTTAACAAACCATTAACAAACTTGCAGCTGGGGACGGCAGCATCTGGCCAAAACAGGTGACAAGACTGTTCATCCGCGTATGACGAGACTATTTTTCAGGCGCTGCTGCAAATACAGTCTCACCACACGCGGACTCCCCGTCACAACTGGACGGCAACGTTCAACCTGCCAGCACCCTTGGGCACATCAAAGAACCGCTCCACCTGCTGGCCCCTGAAAGACACTCTCACCCGATACCTGAAGGGATTGGTGTAAACGACATGAAACAAGCACGAGGGTAAAGAGTAAACTGGGTGTGAAGGGAAGGTAAACTGGATGGCAACATTCAGCCTGCCAGTGCCCTTGGGCACATCAAAGAAGCGCTCCACCTGCTGGCCCCTGAAAGACACTCTCACCCGATACCTGAAGGGAGGGGTGTGTGTGATGTGAAACCAAGCGAGATCACAAAAGAAGAGATAACGACTTGGCCACGTTTCAAGGCTCCACATGCTGGCCCCTGAAAGAGACCCTTTTGCGTCGACTCAAATCTCTCCCGTGACGGAGACCCTACACTCGGTACCTGAAGGGACGGGTGTGAATGACGTGAAACAAAGACAAGAGTGAAAAGAAGAGTGAACGACTGGCTTCTGAAGGAGACCCCGTTGAGTCGACTCAAAGCTCGCCCGTGACAGAGTCCCTCACACTTGGTACCTAAAGGAACGAGCATTACGAATTGTTTCGAATGTCCATCAGTAGATTATCAGTGAAGACATTTGGAACCACTTTTGGGGATTCTTGGAATCCCTAGCTGTGTGGAGTGCATTGCATGTGGGGATCAGGCTAAGCAACCCACGCGCCGCGGAACGTGGTGATGGAGATATTTTTTCAGTCTAATCGAAAATTTACTAAGAAAAGAGTCGACTAAAGAATCCTTAGCTGTGTGAAGTGCATGTGGGGTGGGGATCAGGCTAAGCCACCCACGTGCCCAAGCGGGACGTGGAGAAGGAGAAGGGGGAGCCCAAGCAGGACCGGCTTGAAAAGTGGGTGCTGCCCAACATCTGGAGGGCATGATACTTTAAGAAGCCATGCTGCCAGCCTGGCCTGCGAAACTACCCTACCTGCCATCGAAGGGTGAATAAGAAAGACTACAACCCTACCTGCTGTGCAATACCGAGCCACCCACCTGCCGTGGAATGCTGTGAAGGAGAGGGGCGAGTTCAGCCGGGATCGCCTTGAAAAATGGGTGCTCCACTCAGCTCTGAGGGCCTGGTATCTGGAGGGCATGAGAGGAGGCGGGTGGAGTGGAGGGTAGAGGAGAGGGGAGATGGGGAAGGGGATGGGAGTGGGAGAAGGACAGGGAGAGGGAGGAGGGGAGGAGGAGGAAGGGAGAGGGAGGAAGGGAGAGGAGGAGGGGAGTGGGAGAATGGGAGAGGGAAGGGATGGGAAGGAGGGAGGGGATGGAGGGGAGAGGGAGAAGGGGAGAGGGAGGAGAGTGGGGGGAGGAGGGGAGAGGGAAGAAGGGAGAGGGAGGAGGGGAGAGGGAGGAGGGGAGACGGAGGAGGAAAGTGGGAGGGAGGGAAGAGAGGGAGGAGAGGAGGGGGAGAAGGGGAGAGGGAGGAGGGGAGAGAGGGAGAGGAGAGGGAGGAGGGGAGGGGGGGGAGGGGAGAGGGAGGAGAGGTGGGGAGAGGAGAGGAGAGGGGAGGAGAGGAGAGGAGAGGAGAGGAGAGGAGAGGAGAGGAGAGGAGAAGAGAGGAGAGGAGAGGAGAGGAGGAGAACGGGGGAGGAGAGGAAAGGAAAGAAAAGGAGAGGAGAGGATGGGTGGGCGGAAGGGTGGGAGGGGGAGATGGAAGGAAGAGGTTAGACAGTGTGGAACAGTAGTATGGTACATAGAGCAGTGCTCGCTCGTGTGTACCTTGGTTTGGGAAACGGGCTGAGTTTCATGGTTCGGCCGAGCCAGATCACTCTGCTCAGGTGGGTGTTCCATTCCTTGCGCAGGCGCACAAACCTGGCAGGGAGGTGATGGGCAGAGGAGGAAAGACGAGCGTTTGAATGGGGGCTGAAGAGGACTTTTGAGGCGCCTAAAAGTCGACTTTTGAGGCACCTCGAAAGACGAGCGTTTGAATGGGGGCTGAAGGGCACTGGGACGTGCAGCATCGACAGGAGCGAAGGTGGTTGGAATGGGAAGCACTGGCACTGGGGTACATCTTCACCATGCGATAAATAACTGGATTTGTTTTTTGAGAATTCTCAAAAAACAAATTCAGAGATACGTCTTTTCCATTCGATGGATAACTGGAGCGACCTCTTGAAAGCGAGACTCGCTCAGTTATCCATCGCATGGCACTACTGCTGCTGCTTACCTCTGTCGGGGGAAGCTATAGCTGTACTGAGAAAAAGCAGTTCTTGTTTGTTCCACACGTTTTACCTTTCGAAATCTTTCGAGAACCAGCTTTCCTCAGTCCATCTCCTGACAACGCCAATCCAGATAATGCTGCGACTCTACTCCAGAACTACACCCGGAATGGCAGGGCCAAGCGTTCACCTTCTGTTACACCCGCTCCCAGCTCTCACCTTTTCCCTGCCTTGTCTTCCATAATTTCTTAGTCGACTCTTAAGTACTACCGCCTCCTCTCGTACCCGCTCAAAACTCTCAAACTCTCACCTTTTCCCCGCCTCGTTATCTGTGAAGCTCGAATCGGCCAGACAGGCATCACACCCGTTGCACATGCCCGAATCAATGTCTTTATAGAACTCGCACGTGGATCGCCCAGCTGACCACAGCACCATGCCCGCCACCGAGGGATGCGAGAAGGCCTCTCGCATCACCGCCTCGAGATAGTCGGCTCTCTGTTCATCAGACTCCACCTCGCTGAAATCGAGTTCGGTCAGCCAGATGGGGAGTTTGGCCATGGCTAGCCGGTTCAAATCGTGCTTCAAGCGGACCTGAATGGAGAGGGGTGAAGAGCAGATGGAGAGAGGCGATTCAGGTCATGCTTCAAGCGCTTCTCCCCAACTGCTTCTCCCCAACTGCTTCTCCTCAACTGCTTCTCACCAACTGCTTCTCACCAACTGCTTCTCACCAACTGCTTCTCACCAACTGCTTCTCACCAACAGCTTCCCACCATTCCAATGTGCCTCCACACCCCTTCACACCTTCTGTCACCTTCTAGTGTGCCCTGCAACCCTCCCCAACACGCTACCATTCCCTCTCTCCAATTTTTTTTATCTCCACCATATCAACTCACCAGCTGCGGCTCCCCACTGTAATGCGCCTCCACTCCTATCCCTGTCACTCCACTCTGCTTCACTCTCCATTTCTTTCCACTCTCTCACTCCACACTCTCTAACTGCCACCCCTCTCAACTCACCAGCTGCGGCTCCCCACTGTAATGCGCCTCCACGCCTATGCCCGTCACTGGCGCCCCAGTTGCATTGAGATTCCACACCTTCTGCTCTCGAATGCCAAGGGGGAGAGTACAGAGAGGAAAAGAGGGGAGAGTACAGAGAGGAAAAGAGGGGAGAGTTGGTTGAACATCCACGAATGCACACCCTCCCCCACTCCCACACAGCACACGCCCTTCCGCACTCGTTGCACCAGAACGAATCGCCTCTCACCTCAAGGTGCACCTCTGGGTTGGCTCCTCGGTCGCACTGCTCCACTCTGTTGTAATGTTAAGAAAACAGCTGAAGTCCAACCTCATTCTCTTCCCATTCCACTTGCCTACATCCTCCCTCTCACCTCGAGGTACACCTCTGGGTTGGCCCCTCGGTCACACTGCTCCACCGTGTTATAATCATTCAAAAATAGCCGCACATTCGGATCAATCGCCCGCGCAGCCTTGAACATCCACGAGTGAATTTCCTCTCCCAACCGCTGCCCGTAGTAGTTGCCATGCAGAGGCTCGTTGATGACATCCCAGTGCTGCACCTTGCCCGTGTATCGCGTCACTGCACTGTTCATGCGCCTTTGCATTGCTGCCCATAGAGCAGTATCATTTAGATTCTGCAAAAAAAAAAACAAAAAACAAAGATGGGAAAAAGGGAAGGAGGAAAGGGAGGTTGAAAAGGGGAAGGGGAAAGGGAAGCAGAGAGGGGGGGATAAAGAGTCCACACAGTGTTGAACATCCACGAGTGAATGTCCTCTCCCAACCGCTGCCCGTAGTAGTTGCCGTGCAGAGGCTCGTTGATGACATCCCAGTGCTGCACCTTGCCCGTGTATCGCGTCACTGCACTGGCCATACGTCTCTGCATGGCCGCCCATAAGGCAGTGTCATTCAGGTTCTGGAGGAACGGAAGGAGCAGACGGGGCAAAGGTGCAAACGGGCCAAGGGGTAATGGGGTAATGAGGCTCGTTGATGACATCCCAGTGCTGCACCTTGCCCCTATAGCGGGTCACTGCACTGGCCATGCGCCTCTGCATTGCCGCTCACAGGGCAGTGTCGTTCAAATTCTGGGGAAAGGGAAGGGGTGAAGGGGCAAATGGGTACAGGAGAAATGAGGCATTGAGGCTCGTTGATGACATCCCAGTGCTGCACCTTGCCCCTATAGCGGGTCACTGCACTGGCCATACGTCTTTGCATGGCCGCCCATAAGGCAGTGTTGTCCAGATTTTGAAATAAGGGTAGGGTAAACAGCAAGAAATATTCAATTATATTCTCTCCCGCATTGACTCACTTAGATTGGCATTACAGCATCAGTTACCTTGACCAGCGTTGACCAACCTTGACTGGCGTTGACTCACCTTGACCCACGTCTGGACAAACTTCTCCACGGCCCAGAAGATGTTGTGTGCCCGTACGCTCACGTTCCTCTGCGTGAACCAATCTACCAGCGCATCCGTCACATTGTAGTCCTCTGCTCCCTCCCTCCGCTCGTTGAAATACCACTTGCCCTCGTTGTTGAACACTGCCCAGTTAAACTTGTTCAGAAACCACTGGAGGGGTGGGAGGGGGGGGAAGGAAGTGGGGAGGGGTGGAAGGGGGTTGAAAAGGGTTGAAAGGAGTGAACCAATCTACCAGCGCATCCGTCACATTGTAGTCCTCTGCTCCCTCCCTCCGCTCGTTGAAATACCACTTGCCCTCGTTGTTGAACACTGCCCAGTTAAACTTGTTTAGAAACCACTGGAGGGAGCGGAAGCGGGTGGAAAGGGGTAGAAGGGGGTGTAAAGCGGTGAACCACTCCACCAGTGCATCAGCCACATTCTAATCCTCCTCTTGCGCCCTGCCTCCCTCCGCTCGTTGAAGTACCTTTGGGCTTCGTTGCTGCATACTGCCCAGTTGAACCGGCTTAAGAACCACTGGAGAGGGGCGGAAGAGACAGATGGAGCTCTACTTGCCAAATCGATAGGGCGTCCCTACGTGTGAACACCATCCGAAGATGTGACACCAGCAGCGTTCCAGTCCACTTCCTCCTGCTAGACGGGTGTTTCAAAGATCAGAAATTCCAGGACGATCGTGGGACTTATGACAACCGAAGAATACTCATGACAAACCTAAAACCACGACACTCCCAAACGGATAAAAAAATTGGTTCAAAAAAAAAAAAAAAAAACATCAATCGCCCCCCTTCTTGATCGTGTTACCCCACCTGGTTGTATGCTGTGGGCTGTGGCCGTATGGAACAGCACTGCTCGAAGTCGTGTTTAAGACAGAGTCTGACAGCACCTGGGTGGTTCACACTGTTGGAGCATCAAAGACACCTCCCCTCTCTTGGTAAGCAGGGACATGCTTGAGGCAAGAGGGTGAGCATCAAAGACACCTCATATTCACTTTTGAGATGCCGCAAGAGCCACTGTTGCAGCATTGAAAAGAATCTCACCTCTTGGTAAGCTGTGTCGTATAGAATTGCGCCGTTCACATTGGCGCCAAAGGGGAAATCTGAAGAGACCTGGTCGATCTGCACACGTGCCGGTATCAGGCCGAGCCCAAGCCCTTGAATGGACAGCCGCACAGGCCGCATGCGGTACTGTGGCGGAGGGGGGATATTGCATGTGGTGCATGGGGGACATGGGGGGCATGGGGAGCGTAGTGAGTCGATCTGCACGCGTGCCGGCACCAGGCTGAGCCCCAGTCCTTGGGATGGACAGCCGCACAGGCCGCATGCGGTACTGTGGTGGGGGAATGGAAGGGATCATGCATAGCGACATAATGAAAAGAAGAGCTTGGGGAGCGTGGGGAGAAGAGCATGGGGAGCATGGCATGGATGAATAGGATGAATGGGGTGCATGCATGTTTACAAGTTCTTTGCTCTGCCCATAACTGCCTGCCTGCACCTTCTCCCCTTCAATCCACATGCTCAAATCCACTTTCAGAGAATATTCGAGTCAACTTCACGCCCTTTCTCCCTTCCCCCCTGCCTTCACTCCTTCTCCCCTTCTCACCTTCTTAATATCCTCATTCTGTCGGCTTCGCCATATGTTCATATCCACTTTCAGCAGCGATGCTGACGTCACCCAGATCTCAGTCCCCACCGCTGCGCCCTGCACGTACACTGCCACCTCAGCGGCCGGCTCGTGCAGGGTAAATCCCCCTGTTAATTTCGTCCAGCATGTGGACCGAGCGTTCGCCCCTCCAATGCACAGATATCTGCCCGATAAAAAACAACAAAAAGGAACATATAACAGATGCATAAGCCGTTGCGTGGTTCTGGGTGTTTTAGCCAGTGCAAAACCATAGTGTCATTACCAATTGTCCACTTTCACCCATACTGCCAGCTCATATGCCGCTGCCGCCATGCACGCCAGACTGCTTTAGCCCCAAATACGTGTACAAGAGGTCGCCCACTGCTAGATATGAGTAGGGCGTTGCCACTACTGTGACGACGCCACGTCCTTATCGCCAACCACAAGCCACACTGCTGGGTCTGTACCACACTCCCCTTTGGTTCGACTAAAAAATCATCCCGCACTCACTTGTTTATCTTGGCTGCAGCGGTCACGTACTGCCGCTCCCCCGGTCCAGCCTCACCCACACCGCCAGCTCATACGCCCAACCCACCCACCCAGCCGGCGCATAACCATGACCACACAACAAGTTTCACCACAAGTGCTTATATCGCACTCACTTGTTGTTGATCTTGGCCGATGCAGTGACGTACTGCCGCTCCCCCGCATCCAGCTTCACCCAGATCGCCAGCTCATAAGCCGCTGCAGGCACGTCCCGCACGCTCTGCTTCGGTCCCGCATACGTATACGAGCGGTTGTACGCCACCAGGTACGAGTACGGCGTGGGCGCTGTAGCGTTCAGCACGGCTTTTATAGGCGCATACCCAAAGCCCTGCCAGCCCGTGGTGCCGTTCGCTATGCTGGGGTTGGCGAAGAGATTTCCCTCCTGGGCGGGGGGCGTGGGCGTGTTGGAACACTGGGTGGCCGGGAAAAGGGAGCGGAGTGAAACAAGGAAGGGGAGGAGTCAGCCAAAGCCCTCCCAGCCAGTGGTGCCGTTCGCTATGCTGGGGTTGGCGAAGAGATTACCCTCTTGAGCGGGGGGCGTGGGCGTGTTGGAACACTGGGAGGAGGGGAGGAGGGGAGGAGGGGAGGAGGGGAGGAGGGGAGGAGGGGAGGAGGGGAGGAGGGGAGGAGGGGAGGAGGGGAGGAGGGGAGGAGGGGAGGAGGGGACGAGAGAAGGAAGGAGGAGGGTGAGGGGAGGAAGGGGATTATGGAGAGGAAATAACAGAAGCCCTGCCAGGCGGTGGTGCCCTCGTCCATGGGGTTGATGATGAGGTTTCTCTCCTGGGCGGGGGGCATGGGCGTGGGGGAACACTGGAGGGGGAGAGCGGGAGAGGAGGGAGGGGGAAGGGGGGGAGGGGAGGGGAGAGCGGAGGACGTAGAGAGAGTGGGTGGCAGGGAGGAGAAGGCAAAGGACGGGAGTCAAGAAGGAGGAGATGAGATGAATGCGTGCGCTTGGGTTTCCTCAGAAGCAAATGCGTGCTCTTGGGTTTCCGCAGAAGCAAATGCGTGCTCTTGGGTTTCCTCAGAAGCAAATGCGTGCTCTTGGGTTTCCGCAGAAGCAAATGCGTGCTCTTGGGTTTCCTCAGAAGCAAATGCGTGCTCTTGGGTTTCCTCAGAAGCAAATGTGTGCTCTTGGGTTTCCTCAGAAGCAAATGCGTGCTCAACAGCAGACGAAGAAGCATTACGCACTGCCCCATGCTGCAGCTAAGAGTTTACTTTCCTTCTTCTGTCAGGGGAGAGGGCGTGGGGGATCCCTGGGGGACGCAGAAGTGGCAGGATGGGAAGACGTGGCAATCAGGGAAGAGGACAGACAAAGGAGGGGAGGAAAGGCGCAGAACAGTGCGGTGCAGTGCGGTTACTTACAAAAACGACTTTAAAGACGTCGCTGCTGCCGCTCTTCTTTTTGGCTGCATTCGCACTCGCCTGCAGCGATTTCACATAGTCCAGCGAAAGCAGCCCGTCGCGCTGGCGATACTTCGCCCACTCGCGCTCGTACGGCGACGATCGTGGTAACTTGGGTAGCTTGGATTTCGCGAGGTTGATCGCCGCGCGAGCCTGTTCCCACGGAGATAGAGGTAACTTGGTTTTCGCCAGATCAACTTGAATTGCGTGCGCTGGGGTGATTGGGGCTGATGAGCGGAGAACAGTGGGCGCGGGGAGGGGAGGTGGTTGGGGATGGGAGGGGCGGGGAGGAGGGGGAGGTGGGGAAGGGGGAAGGGCGGGAGGGGGAAATGCAGGGGCAGAAGGGGAAGAAGGGGAGAAACGAAGGAAGCAATGCTTCCTAAAGATTCTCAAAAGTCCTTAGGTGCCTGAAGATACGCACGTATATTGAACAAAACGAAGAACATGCTAAGGGGGGCTACTTATTGAGCACCTCAAGGACAATCGACGTGTCTATTTCGTCTCAGCCTAAAGATACGCGTGCAGACTGGACATTTCAGCGGTAATTTTCAGGGGGGCGAGGAGGAAGGTGCGAAAGAGGAAAGTGGGGAGAGAGAGAGAGATTACGGACACTCTAAGCGCGAACAGTCTCAGCGTAGACAGTCTCAGCGGAACGCGTGATGTGAACGCGTTTCTCAGGCGCCACAAACGGGGAGAAGAACTCACATGGACGACCAGACTGGTGGCTGCAAAGCATGATCGTTGCGGTGAGAGCGATTGCGGCGAACAGTCTCAGTGGAGCTCGCACGCGTGGTCTTGCCATAGTTATACTGTCTACTTCAAAAACCACACTCTAAAGCTGAAATTCGTTTCCGTAGACCCCTGCAGGATTAATTCGCTCACTAGGGTTATCTGGACATGCCAACAGATACCTAAGACACAGACTAGCTTCCACGCAGCCTCAGATATTAGGACCAATGGACCAAAGGTGACACTATCGAGTATGATGACACCTCGCGAAGCTTCGGATATTACAACGAAATGCTAATTGCTTTGGATTTGCGATCCGACTGACTAACTTCCCGTCAAGCGTCTAAATGCTTCAAACGCGCAGTCCAACGACGAATTCAAGAACACGGAAATGCACGACCTAACTATCAAGGATGATTAGTAGTGAGGGACAGATGGGAACGAGCATATGTCCTAGTAAAACCAGGCCAGAAAGAACTCTGCAAGGAACTTTCATCGTTGTTTCAAGTAAAAGAAGCCTTTGAAGATGTCCAAACAGTTATGTGGAGTTCCTTATGTGCGGGAGAGGGAAGAAAAGTGGATGTCGAGTCGATCGATAGTCCGTCACATTCATCGAGAGAAATCACCCGTCAGAAAATCGAGGGTTAAAACCGGGGTGCACATTCAGCTGAATGTGCCTCAAAGGTTATCCCTTGACTGAGTGGGTTACGAGGTGTGCTTTCAACCCCTTCAAGTCGAAATTCGTTTCCCCCCTCCCCCGCAATTTCGTTTCCCCACGCCCCCGCAATTTCATTTCCCCCTCCCCGTCGAAATTCGTTTCCCCCCTCCCCCGCAATTTTGTTTCTCCCCTCCCCCGCAATTTCGTTTCCCCCCCCTCCCGCCAATCTGTTTCATCCCTCCCGCCATTCGGTTTCACCCACTCCCGCCACCTACGAAATGCCCGAAGCTCTAGCGGAATCATTTTTTTGTCGCCCCTCGTGAGCCAATCACTGTTTTTCTCCAAACCCCCTTCCCAACATCTCAAGCCGAACCGCGTTGAATGTGCACCCTGGTTTTAAGGTTTGTCACCTCCGTGGTTGTTGGTAAAGGTGATGCGAAGTTGCAAGGTGAAGAAAAGTGAGAGGAGGTAGCAAGAGGTGACGGAGGGTTGAGAAGAAAAAGCGACGTCATAGAATTGCAATTCCAACCGACACCCCAAGCCGATCAACACCCCTACCCCAAAAAAGCAACCTGATCCTTGAAACCAATCCCAAGGTCACCTGGGAGCGCGTTTCGAAGTGAGCCTAGAATGTACCGTCTGGGTTGCATGGGTATGTACGTTTCCAAAAGACACTAGGTTGCGAGATCGCAAATTTCATAACGCTAGATACGACCTAAAGGTTTTGAGTACTATCGAGTTCGCGTTTGGCGGCAACCGACATTTCATCGCCAGAAAGGCGCCTTGTCGCAAGTGACAGGCAGGTGCAGGGGGTTTGTGAGGTGCCCCCAGGTCAGACCCGAATGCCAACATATCCTGTCGCAGAGTTGCGGTGCGATCAGAAACTGATAATTGGCTGCTATGGCGAAACGTGTGCGAACGAAATGCTGTACAGTGGGCAAGATGCGAACCGCTGCACTGAGCGCGGGGTCCGGCGTGCAAGGAGCTCGGAGCCTGGTAGCGCTACCGAGGCCGCTACCGGGAGGAAAACGACGCTACCTAGTGAAATGTATTGTCGCAGAGTTGCGGTGCGATCAGAAACTGATAATTGGCTGCTATGGCGAAACGTGTGCGAACGAAATGCTGTACAGTGGGCAAGATGCGAACCGCTGCACTGAACCTGCAATTGAATTTGGATGGCTGTCACCAAGTGCCAAATTATCAAGCCTCAATAGAAGTCATCTAAGGAACGTGACACAACGAAAGGCATCTGATGAAAATACAGAACACGACCCATCAAACGTAACTTTCATACACTAAACAAAGGAAGACACCTCCTCCATCGGCACTTTGTTTAGGGCGTGTTCCATGAGTTCATTTTGGGAGGAAACCAATATTTTTACGTAACTTCGAGTCAGCAAGAAGTGTACAATCTGACGAAAAAAAAAACGCAGCGCCTCATTACTGTGTCAAACGAAATTGCACCACGCGGGCTCACAGGCCCGCCCGCACAAAACTCGTCTCCCGACTCACATTTGACATGGGTCGCGAGCGGTAACCCGCCCCAGTTGCGAATCGACCGGGCCAGAACCCGGGAACCTTAACGATGTGCGCGAGTGGAAGCTGGGCGAACTCTGAGATTTAGGTGACGGCTTACGCGGACCTGTTCGAGTTGGGGTACGTACCATGGAAGCCGTTTTTGAACGCGTTCGTTACGAACCTGTTGACATGTTTGGCGCGTCACTACCAGGCGTCATTGAAGACGCCTGTCTACAGTCGCTGAACTCTAAGGGTTACACAAAGAAAATAGGGTTACAAATCTCAAAATGAACTGTAAACGAACTCATGGGACACACCCTTAGCGTGCATCACATTTAGCACCTACCAAGGCTGAACACAAAATAATCTCATAAGTACAATGTTTCTCTCCCTTTGCTAGCACCCTGGCCACATGGTAAACAACACACAACATGCAAATACTGTTGGAGGTCGCGTGAGTTAGAAGCAAACGGTGGTGGGGCAATTGATATGCCCCCAACCCACCGAATGTGTTTCGGTGCTCACCGCTTGAGAGAGCTGCAGGTTTCACGAAGTGTGTGGGTTGACTTCGGAAGACCCACTCGATTGGTGCCACATGGCAACACAAGATGAATCGAGACTCAGGGAGAATTCGATTCGGTGAAATTCGAGAGTCGAATTTCACCCCTTCGATGTTACTCGAACATTCGAGTGTACCGCGGATCGAGGTTACATGTGCGATTCGACGTTTTGCAGTTCATATAAATGTGTTTGCTTTTGTATTGCATGATATACTGAACATTCTGAATCACTTTGTATGAAGTGCATTCGAACACAAAATCCAGAGAGATTCCTATCCTTCAACATAGAGCATAGTCTTCACGTTTCCAGCTATAGCTCGCTCGTTTCTCAGGCGAACGAAGCAATTGACGGCTCGTTGGAAAGCTAAGACAGAGCTCTATCGTTTAGAACAATTCCCAGTTCCTGCAAAGCAGAGGAGAGTCCTCTACATCAGTGGTATCAAAGCTGGTCGGAGGAGTCTACGCGCGCGACAAGGAGCAAGCATGATGACGTCAAGCGAGGCCTCCCGCACTTCCTTGGATGGTGTCGTTGTAAATACCGGCGAACCCTGGGCAACCGCGACGATGTTCGACACGTCGGCGGTACCGATTTTCACGGGACAAAATTACTCCGCGTGGAAGTTTAAGTTCCAAGTGCTCATGATGGAGCGGGGACTTTGGTGATTCTTCGATGGAACGGAGAAGAAGCCGGACGACGAGAGCGACATCGCGGCATGGAAGAAGAAGGACCAAAAGGCGTTCGCTACGTTGATTTCGCGCATCGGCATCAATCTCGTGAGCTCGGTGCGCATGTGCATCAAGCTCGAAGCGTCGGCGCATGAAGCGTGGAAGCGGCTCGAGACCATCCACGTGAACAAGACTCTCCACGGCAAGATCCTAGCCCGGAATGCGTTCTACACGGTGAAGATGCGCGCGGGCGAATCGATGCACGAGTATGCGACTCGTGTGGAGGAACTCGGGGAATCGTTCATGGACCTCGGTGGAACGGTCACGGAGGAGGATTGGATTCTCACCTTGCTTTGCGGCCTTCCGGAAGAGTGGTCGACGGTGATTACGACACTCGATAGCGTGCAAGACACTTGGACGAAGGAAATGGTGGTCGGTCGGCTTCTCCATGAGGAATCACGTCGCCGACAATTCGCGAATGAGAGCGAGGGGACCGCCATGTACTCCGGAGGGAGTTCCGGAAAGAAGTCCAAGTGGAGCAAGGGTGCGACGAATGAATCGTCGGGTGGGAGCGAGCATCGCGGCAAGTGTCACTATTGCCACAAACCGGGACACTTTTGGCGTGAGTGTCGGAAGCGCCCGAGCGATTGGACTCCATCGAAGGCGCGGGACGAAGAGGGCAACGCGCACACGGCATCCGGCGAGGCCGATGATTCAAAGAAGTCGCTCGTGTTAGTGGCCGGCAACGGGAACAAAACTCCAAGCGACGCGTGGTTCCTCGATACCGGTGCAACGCAACACATGACGCACTCGGCGTCGCTCCTCAACAACATTGGCGCTCCGGGAGACGTCACGAGCATCGTGTTCGGAAACAACGAATCTCTACCGGTGGTTGGAGTTGGGAGTACGCGCCTCATCGTCGATAGCGGACCGGTGGACGTCACGAACGTGCTTCACGTCCCGGGGGTGAAGGTGAACCTTCTATCCGTCCCGCAACTGGCGAAGAAGGGCGTGATCGCCACCATCGACGGTGCGAAGATGAACCTCTTTTGGAAGGGGGAGTAATTCGCGCAAGGGATTCTCAATGGAGATATCTACCAACTCAAGACGTACCCAAGAGTGGCTTCATCGAACGTGGCGCAAGGCTCCAAGGCAACTCTTAAGGCGTGGCATGATCGACTTGCGCACGCCAATTACGACTCGGTCAAGGAGTTGGCCAACAAAGGACTTGCGAAGGGACTTGACGTGATCGCCGGCGACGACGAGAAGGGCGTGTGCGCGGCGTGTGTCGAAGGAAAAATGGCTCGCAAGCCATTTGGTAGCCGAACGTCACCCCTCGCTAAGGACCCGCTTGCGCTTGTTCACATGGACGTGTGTGGACCGATGCGACATGCATCAAAGGGAGGAGCGCGGTTCCTCTTGGTGATGCTCGACGACGCGACGCGGATGTGTTGGACCCGACTCTTGAAGGCTAAGGGAGATGCGGCCAAGGCGATTCAAGAGTGGGCGCTCGATGTTTGCGACGACGACAAGAAGCGGATCAAGTGTATTCGCACCGACGGTGGGGGCGAATTCGTGAACGCGGAGCTTGAGAAATGGATGAAGAGCAAGGGCATAAAGTACGACGTCACGACACCCTACACACCCCAACAAAATGGAGCGGCGGAGCGGCTTAATCGCACGTTGGTGGAAGCCGTTTGTTCACTACTTCAACACTCCAAGCTTGGGAACGAGTGGTGGGGAGAGGCGAGTGCGCTAGCGGCATGGATTCGTAATCGTGTGCCGACAAAGGTGCTACCGGGAATGAATCCGTTCGAAGCATGGACCGGAACGAAGCCGAACCTATCCCGCCTACGCACCTTTGGGTGCCTTTGCTACTACCATATACCGGATCCTCTTCGCCACAAGTTGCAACCGAAAGCTCGTGCGGCGATCTTCTTGGGAGTTGCGCCAAACGAGCGTGCATGGCGAGTGTGGGACTTGGGTGAAAAGCGTGTCGTCACGTCTCGGGACGTGGTCTTCGATGAAGACAAGTTCCGTCGAAGGAGAAACCCACTCAACAACTCACTTTCATCCTTCAGCCACGAGAGGAGGTTGAAGAGAGTGAGACTCCACCTCAAGTGGAGAAGGAAGCCGATGGAGGGGGAGAGAACAACGAGGAGAGCGTTGATGATGTCGTGGAGGTGTCACCTACCGAGGCGGCAACTACCTCCACACCTTCCTCCCTACCATTGGCCTTGACCCGCGAGCGTCGTGAGGTTCGTCCTCCCTCCAAGTACGCCGACTATGCTACGGTAGCCGTTGGGAAGTTGGATAAGGAGGGGGCGGCATTTTGCTTCGCAACCATGGGTGATGATGAACACATGGATCCTCTCATGGAACTACCCCCTAAAGATCCGTCCCGTGCATGCTACGAGCATGTTGGATTGCACACCTAGTGGGTTGGGTGCAAGGGGGAGTGTTGGAGGTCGCGTGAGTTAGAAGCAAACGGTGGTGGGGCAATTGATATGCCCCCAACCCACCGAATGTGTTTCGGTGCTCACCGCTTGAGAGAGCTGCAGGTTTCACGAAGTGTGTGGGTTGACTTCGGAAGACCCACTCGATTGGTGCCACATGGCAACACAAGATGAATCGAGACTCAGGGAGAATTCGATTCGGTGAAATTCGAGAGTCGAATTTCACCCCTTCGATGTTACTCGAACATTCGAGTGTACCGCGGTTCGAGGTTACATGTGCGATTCGACGTTTTGCAGTTCATATAAATGTGTTTGCTTTTGTATTGCATGATATACTGAACATTCTGAATCACTTTGTATGAAGTGCATTCGAACACAAAATCCAGAGAGATTCCTATCCTTCAACATAGAGCATAGTCTTCACGTTTCCAGCTATAGCTCGCTCGTTTCTCAGGCGAACGAAGCAATTGACGGCTCGTTGGAAAGCTAAGACAGAGCTCTATCGTTTAGAACAATTCCCAGTTCCTGCAAAGTAGAGGAGAGTCCTCTACATCAAATACACGACACAACCAGACTCAGTAACGCACATGCGTGTTTTGCCATTCATCAAGGAAAACAAAAAACAAACAAGGACAGAACTAGACGTACGGCAATGGCGATCAGTTCTGTCAGCAATGGCCGCAGCAGATGAAGTGGCTGGCGACACAGGAGACAAGGGGGGCACGGGAGACCAGGGGGACACGGGAGACAGAGGTGTGAATGGGAAAACGTCAGGCTGGAACAACTGAAACTTCGTACTTAACCTTCCCAATACTCTCCGCTATTGCTACCCACCTCTATATCCGATCCACCTCTTTGCTTCACGCCTCTCCATACTCTCCTTCCACTCTTTCCTCACTCCCTCTTCACCTCGCCCTACTCCTCCCCTCCATTCCCTGTACCCCTCACTTTTCCTTTCCTGATTTCACATCACCCTTCACCCTCCTTCACTCACCCACTGGGTCGGGCCATCCACAGGAGCAGCCTCGGGATTGTCGTGAACCTGCCACGTGGCGGCAAGGGGAAAATAATGATGGGCCACACAGGGGGAGGCGATGGGCGGCAGAGGCGTCAGAGGTGGCCGGCAGAGATATCAGCTATGGGCGGCAGAGGTGTCAGCGGTGGGCGGCAGAGATATCAGCGGTGGGCGGCAGAGATATCAGCTGTGGGCGGAAGAGATGTCAGCGGTGGGCGGCAGAGAGGAGGGTGAAGGCACAGAATTTCTGCCACACGTGCACGTGCCCATTTCACAGGCTCAAACAACACTGCACCAGCACATCATCTGTACCATCTCTTATAAGCCCTCACTACCTTCTCACAATGCATCACAGCACTTACCACCATGAAAATGCCGTCCAACCCCCACCGCCACACATGCTCACATGCAACCATGCACGCATGCATGGCACCTTGGTACTAGAAACGCATCGCAGTTCTTACCTCCATGAAAATGCCGTCCACCCCCACCGCCACACATGCTCGCGCCACAGCCGGGATGAGATGCCTCTGCCCTCCGCTTGCTAGACCCCCCCCTGGCAGCTGCAAGTCAACGGAAGTCAATGCAAGTAAACAAAATTTGAGTCAAAGCGATAAACATGAAGCGATTCAAATTGAGTCTATGTGAATCAACATGAATCAAGTCAATGTGATTCAAGAAGAGTCGATGGGAGTCAACAATAGAAAAAAAGTTTAAAATGGTGCAGCCACTTGTCAGTCCATGATTGGATGCCATACCTGCCGCTGAGCCGGTTGCTGCAGGGAGTGGGTGACGTCAGCAACCACAGGGCAGTTTGCCGCACGCATCTGGACCAGATTGCGCGGATCCAGGATCAGATCTCCGTATCCGAACATGGTTCCTCGCTCACACACCATCACATGGGGATTGCCGGCCGCCCTCACCTTCTCTGCTGCTGCCACCACCACCTGGTGTGTGGGGGAGGGGCGCATGGATGCATGTGTTTAATTAGAGTGTGTTCCTACGGCCCCCTATCAGGCTGACCTCTGATCAGACTTGGTGCTTCGAGCGATTTTGTTATAAACACAGATTTCATACTTGAACACAGAACAGTGCTGCGCGATGAATTGGTCACGCAAAACCTTTCAGACGTGCATGCTGTTTCGGTCAACCAGTGTCAGGAAATCGACGAAACACGTGTGAAAGGACCCTGCTTTGTCGGGTATGAAGCATACGAATTTTTTTCAGCCCCCAAACGCACGTTAAAATCTCCTGTGATTTGTCAGGACTCACAATTGTTCCTTTGCAGCCTTACGGGAGCGTTGCGCAGTGCCACGTCACCCCACGCATTTTGTAGCGCACTTCGCCAAACAACAGAAAACGACATATAAAAAGCCTGTTTAAGCCGAGATATTAGTGTTTCAGTCGAGTCTGACAAGAGGCCAGTCTGACTGGAGGCCGTAGGAACAGGCTTTTAAGCGTTTGGAAGAATAAATTGATCAATGAATCATTGTGTGTGTATGGGTACTCATGGAAATTGCTAGCCACCCTCACCGTCTCTGCTGGTGCCACCACCACCTCGTGTGCGAGGGATGGATGGATGGATGCATCACCTCACCTCCTAACCTCACTGTACTGCACCTCACCTCACCTCACCTCACCTCACCTCACCTCACCTCACCTCACCTCACCTCACCTCGCCTCGCCTCGCCTCGCCTCGCCTCACCTCACGGCACCTCACCTCACCTCACGGCACCTCACCTCACGGCACCTCACCTCACCTCACGGCACCTCACCTCACGGCACAGCACCGCACTGCACCTCACCTCAGCACTGCACATCTGCCCCTTTTTAATGTTGATGGGTCGGCCTGTGCGAGCTGCTGCTGTCAGCAGATCCGTCTACTGCAGCAGAGGGAGGGAGGGAGGGAGGGAGGGAGGGAGGGAGGGAGGGAGGGAGGGAGGGAGGGAGGGAGGGAGGGAGGGAGGGAGGGAGGGAGGGAGGGAGGGAGGAGGAGGGAGAGGGAGGGAGGGAGGGAGGGAGGGAGGGAGGGAGGGAGGGAGGGAGGGAGGGAGGGAGGGAGGGAGGGAGGGAGGGAGGGAGGGAGGGAGCGAGGGAGGGAGGGTGGGAGGGAGGGAGAGAGGAAGGGAGGGAGGGAGAGAGGGAGGGAGGGAGGGAGGGAGGGAGGGAGAGAGGGAGGGAGGGAGGGAGGGAGGGAGGGAGAGAGGGAGGGAGGGTGGGAGGGAGGTTTGAAAGCAATGGGGCTCCAAAGTAATGGGGTGGCAAAGCGACAGGGTGGCATCGACATGTGTGATGCACAGAAGAGGGGGACTGGGGGGCATGGGACCACCTGGCAACGGACACCTGACGAAACACCTGAAAGATAAGAAACACCTGATGAAAAATCTGAAGGCACACCCCACTGCAAAGAAACGCCTAAGCGAGGCCCACCTAAGCAAGGCCCACCTGAGGAAGGCTCACCTGTCGGCAGAAGAAAGCCGGGATCTGAATGACGTCTACCACCCTGGCCACTGGCTCGCACTGCGTGTGTGGTGATGGGGGGATGGAGAGTAGGAAGGAGAGGAAGGAGAGGAAGGAGAGGAAGGAGTGAAGGAATAGAAGGGATTGGGTTTGAATGGCGGAGAATAGGAGGCGAATGAAAAGGTCCGTTTCACCTGCCTCGTTCCATTCCATCTCACCTGGCCCGTTTCATCTCACCTGGCCCGTTTCATCTCACCTGGCCAGTTTCATCTCACCTGGCTCGTTTCATGTACGTCAGTGAGCACTGGCACGTGCACCTGCTGCCTCACTTGCTCCAGAATCTGACGCACCACTCCCAGACAGAGCATACAAGAACAAGGAGAGGGGTAGGGCGGTGTAAAGGCGGTGGGGAGGGGAAGAATCAGGAGAATGTGAGCTTGAAGTTTAAACGGAAGAATCAAAACAGGTAAAACAACAGCATAATGTGAGCCAAATTGAACGGAAAAAAAAGAGGACAAAACCAGACATGCGAAAAACGACTGGAGCTGGCCCAGGCTCGGAAGCTTGTAAGAATTGAGAGAATGGCAGGCAATTAGACATCGCGCTTCAATTGACCCTGGCCCCGTCAACTCACCTGGAGCCCTTGTTCCATCCCTGGCCCTCTGAACGCATTCAATGACGTGCGATTGGCCTTGTCGAAGCTAGCCTTGAAAACGAACCTCAGACCGAGACTGATATGGATCAATCGCAGTGGCAAAAGAGGGAATATGAAGGGAAACACTGAGTAGGTCGCTCGGTGTGCGTTGTACAAGAGTGAGAGAGAGGGCGTGCGAACTTCTAAGTTGGTGCTACCGCGCATCAAGCGATGTGACGTAAAGAGGGTGTGCTCCTTTAGCGCGATGCACATTATTGACTGCGCCTTAAGCAGCAGCGTGTGCTGCCCCGACTTAATCACATCCTTTCAACCCCCCCAACCCCCCCTTCACCTCTACCCCCCAACCCAAGCCTTCCCCAAGCCTCTCCCCACCTGTCAGCGACCTCCTTAATAGCCCGTGCCATGTGCAGAGTGTGCTGCTCCGATTCAATCACGTTCGGCCCCGCTATTAGGAAGAAGGGCTCGCCGGGCCGTGGCTGTGGATTTGCCGGGGCAAGGGGGGGAACGGGGAGACATGAGTCAGTTCTTGAGGCGCTTTTAGAAACAGATTCAATGACGTTCGGCCCGGCCCTGTTACAAAGAAGAAATGCTCGCCTGGCCTTAGCTGTGGATTGTGGGGCCAAGGGGGAGAACGGTGAGAGGAGTCATTCCGCCTTTGTTGAATCACACTCAGCAGTGCAAACCTCGTCAGATTGAATCCGGATCAGCATTGCAACCCACATCGATCAGTGTTGAATCACACGCAGCACTGCAAACCACATCAATCGTATCAAATTCAGCACAGGAAAAGGTTTCACACTCTCCCTTTGGACAGTCGGACGAGACACGAGGTTAAGGGTTCGGGTTTGGGGTCCGGGGTTTTTTAGTCTGACTCAGAAGTCACCTCAATTTTTTAGCCTGACTCAAAAGCGCAGCACTATGAGCAGAACGAGATTGAAGGCGCTAAATACAAGGCTTAAATTCTGGAAGCCGCGGAATGCAGTGACAGACAATTTGGAAAAAAAAAAAAAAAAAAAAAAAAAAAAAAAAAGGTATCGCTTTAGGCAATGGTACGATTCGGACGGATGGAAGCACCTCGGGAGTGACGCTCATATCATAGCAGGTCGGATAAGATATGAACAGAGGCGAGGACACGAAAGGACTCATGAGATTTCTAAAAATCACTAAAAGGACGGTTATATTCTTACTACCTGCGACGAGAGACCACCCGTCCGAATTGACGCTAACATCTTAATTCTGTGGCGGGAATGAAGTGGACCGAGGCGAGCACAGGAGACGACGGAAATGACGCAAACTATTTACTACCTGGAACGGAAAAACTGCACTTCCTTAGAAGTGGCAGTAACATGGTAGTTCTACAGAGACATCTAGTAAGGCGATCGACCAACGCAACGCACATTGATGTGGATATGCAGTGCCAGGATATGCCGCGACATTGAGTTGATACCGTTTACGGTTCTACCAACGTACATTCACGTCGAAGCTCGGGGCTGTGGGCACTGTAGTGGCTGCCATGGCGGACGCTCCTGATTCGAGTTTAGGACGTAGGGATTTCGAAACACAGACGAATTTATGACTGAAGTCCGCTTCACTTCCAGTTCTACGACTCGGATTCTATGAGCTCTCGTAGTTATTAGTGGGTTTGAACGGAGACTAGTCAGTTGCAGGACGTTTTAGTACGGTCGAATGTGAAAAGGTAAAATGCACACGGCTCGCGAGAAAGTCCTTCTTCAGCAGAGCGGTTCGTGGCTTCGTCTGGGTTTACAGCGCGTACGTTGAGGTACAGGATCAGTGAACTTGCTCTTCAGAAACCTGTGGTTGTAACGTAAACCGCGATAAGTGTCTGAATGATATAACTGATCTTGTATGGGAAAACTCAAGCTTTGTTTCTGTAAGGAAAATTCATTTTCCTTACATCGCGCCCCTGTTACTGTTTACAATACCATTCCGCCATCAGCATCCAACAGTGACATGTTACCTGCTCGCGACATTCGCCTCGACTATGACTCCCGCCATCGTTCACGATGCGACCCAACTTCACGGTTCGGTCGTTAACCCAACCATTACCGCGCTAACTTCGCTAAATATGCTTCACTCATGCCTTCGCCCATTGTATTGTTTAATTCAAAAGTGCAATTCTCGCTCACTCTCCCAATTGCACTCGTAACAGTTTCATACAACCCTCATACCCACAGCAAGCTGTCCACTATCTTGCCATACCATGGCAAACCTAGCTCAAAACATCACCAAAACCAAAACAGATAATCCCAAACTTCCACAACAGATACGGGTACGTTTTCTAGAGTATAACAAGCTACCGTATTCTAGATGGACACGCCTTGCTCAAGCAGCAGTGTGAGGTTAGGCTGGGAAGCAGTCGGGCCCTCAAATTGGATGGGGCCTGCACAACGCCAATGGGAGGAGCACACAGGAACAGTTCAAAGATATGGAACCGGAATGGAGATGAAAGGGAAGAAAGATGAACGAATGTGTGGTGGGGACGAAGGGGATGGAAGAGGGGGCTGACGAGGGCGGGCTGGGGAGAGGAGAGGAGAGGAAGAAGGGTAGGCGCACCTGGGCTTCTGTAGCGGTCGTTGAGAGCCCAGTCGTCACGCACTGAGACAAACTTCTTGAAGGGCGCACCCTCGAATTCAACCATGGCCTTCTTGATCACAGGCTTGTTCTTGCCTGCTCACATGCACACATGCACACGTGCGGAAACATATCCAGCAGCACGAGGCACAGGATGAGCTGAACTAAGCGTGAGCGGCATAGCAACACAACACGGCAGCTGGAGTGGCTGGCGAGCGAAAAACCTTGTGGTAAGGACACAGTGAGACTTTGCTCTCCACGGGTGTCTCTCTCGCAGTGAGTAAGCACAGTGCCCCCCCACGGTCCACTGCTTCTACCTACTCCCACTGCACACGCTATTGCTCCCCACTTAATCTCACTGCCTCTCCCCCATCCTTACAACTCACCCTTGCCCATCTCCCAAGTCATTGATGCCCCTCTCCCCTCTGCCACTCACCCTTGCGCCTCTCCCTGTTCACATGTCCTGCTTCTCCTCACTCCTCTCCTGTCCTCTCCTTGCCTAATTCCCCTCCTCACCCCACCACTCGCCCTTGCCCCTCTGCCACTCACCCTTGCACCTCGCCACCACCATGAGCTCAGTGAGAGCGTTGGCCCCAAGGTCCACTGCTTCTCCCTGCTCTCATTCACTGCCCTAACCCTCCATATCAGTTTCACTCCTTCCTTATCGCCCCGTCACTTTCCTCCTTTCCCCCACCACTCACCCTTGCGCCTCTCCACGACCATCAGCTCAGTGAGGGCAGTGCCGCCAACAGTCCACTCCTGAGGGGGCGCAGTCAGGTTTCCCACGGACGCGATGAGCCCCGTCTCCCCCGCCTGCACCAGTGCTGCCGCTACCGACCCAAGAGCGTAGCAGTAGGTGGCGTCGAAGAGCGTGGGCATGCCACACCGCCCCTCGTATCTGTAGAGGTGGAGGAGAGGCGGGAGGGAAGGGAAGTACAGCAGTTTAGGCGGGACGAGCGTGGGCATGCCACACCGCCCCTCCTCACCCCTCCTCACCCCTCCTCACCCCTCCTCACCCCTCCTCACCCCTCCTCACCCCTCCTCACCCCTCCTCACCCCTCCTCACCCCTCCTCACCCCTCCTCACCCCTCCTCACCCCTCCTCACCCCTCCTCACCCCTCCTCACCCCTCCTCACCCCTCCTCACCCCTCCTCACCCCTCCTCACCCCTCCTCACCCCTCCTCACCCCTCCTCACCCCTCCTCACCCCTCCTCACCCCTCCTCACCCCTCCTCACCCCTCCTCTCCTCACCCCTTCCCACCTCCTCTCAATCCACAGAAAGCCTTACTCGAACCGACGCCGTAGACTCACCCGCAGAAGTGCGAGCGTCCCTCGAAGGCGCCCTTGTACTGCCCCGCCTTGGCCCGCCGCCCCAGCTCCTCCTCCACCATGCTGATCAGCATCTTCTCCGTCTCTATGCGCGCCACCTGAACACAAAGTGAAGGGAGACAGGGGGGTTGGGATTGAAAGAGGGGCAATGGAGCGACAGTTGGACATGAATATTTGCTCGTCAGCCCAGCTCCTCCTCCACCATATGCATTGGGGGTACAGGGTTGCCGCCGGCCCAGCTCCTCCTCCCCAGCTCCTCTTCCACCATGCTGATCAACATCTTCTCTGTCTCTATGCGCGCCACCTGGGGGGGAGCGGAGGTGGGGAGAGGAGAGTCGTAATGCGGCACGTTGAAGGGATATAAGGCATCGAGAGGTAAGGGGTTGCATGCCCGCCGCCCCAGCTCCTCTTCCACCATGCTGATCAGCATTTTCTCCGTCTCTATGCGCGCCACCTGGAGGGGGTTGGGCAGGGCGGGGACACGAGATAACGAGGGTATCGAGGGTAAGTCAGGAGTTGTAACGAGGGTTGAATGCCCGCTGGCCCAGCTCCTCCTCCACCATGCTGATCAGCATCTTCCCCGTCTCTATGCGCGCCACCTGTGATTTTCAGAGGAGAGACGGGCGGTTTGGGGCAT